CGAGCTGGCGCTCAGCGGCGGGACGCCTAGTCAGGCGGCCGGGTCGGCCCACAGCCCCTTCCTCCGCGACCCTTCCCCTTCCTGCCGCCCGCCCGCCGCTCACTGGACACCCCAGGGCCTTTGCGCTGCCTGGGTCTCCCTCAGGCCTCTCTTCGTGCCGGTGTGCACCCCGCCTTCCAGCAGGCTTGGGGGCTATTCTCGCACCCTCCCCAGGCGGTCGCGCTACAACTCCACCGTCGGTGTGCCAGGCCTGAGCCCACCTCAGCCCTTGTGGGCCTGAACAGCCTCCTCGTGGGCCTCCCCACCCAGTTTCTCCCCCACACACACTGAGCTCACAGCAGACCCCTGGAGACCTCTCCCCCTGGCCTTCAAGCCCAGCTCCCGGTGCCACTAGAGCCACAGTAGCCCAAGGACTCTGTGCGAGTGACCATTCCCGAGGTGTCACCATCCACCTTGCCCTCTAGCAAGCCGCACACAGCTGCCCAGGGCCTTCAGTCCCACACCTGGCTGACTCCCTCTGTCACTTTCCACAGCTCCAGCTCATATGTCACCCTCCAGCAGGTCCCTGCCTCCGCCTCACTCTCTGGAACATCCGCCACTGCGAAGTTGCCTTCTCTGTCTTGTCCTCACCATAGGGCCGCACAACCCAGCAGTGGCCTCTGATTGTCTGTTCACAGGGGTCTGTGGATCCCCGAAGTCATCACTTTCAAGACTGTTTCCAGGGCAGGGCTGACTGAAAAAAATCACCTTTCCAAGCGTGACTCCTGACTCTCGCGTGTTCTCTGTCCCAAATCGAGTGAGTCTGAGAAGGTGCTGCCAGCTTCTGTGCTCCCCTGTGGTCGCGCTGAGTGCACTGGAGAGGGCACCAGGGGCCCAGCATTGCCCCTGCTCACCCACTGAACAGGCCTTCCCCGGTGGAGCCACAGGAAGGCTGTCCCGCACAGGCCGGAAGTCCCGCTGCTAACACCCGAGGGAATCGATGGGAACCGCACCAGACCCACCTCAGTCTGGTGACCAAGCTGTGCCTCCTGGGGGGTGGGGAGGGGGGGCAAGTCCTTGGGAGACTGATGATACTGCCCCAGGGGAAAGTGGGGGTGTGAAGAAGAGTCCCCTTTCCAGAGCAACTGTGGCAAGGGAGAGTAGCTGGGGAGCAGCAGCCGCATGGGCCTTGCCCAGGGGCTTCCCCTGCCGCCCGCCACAGGGAAGAGCCACCTCCCACCACAGCTGTGGCCCCAAGTCACAGTGGTGTGGCCGACAGACCCTGGCCCGGACCCTACGCTTGGAGATGCTCCACTGTCAGCCCTGCCGCGGGCCATGTGTTCCGCGAGCAATGAGCTTTCCAAACATCTCTTCGAGGCCTTTACAGGAGAAGCAGGCACAGGCGTACAAAGCAGAAAATCAGTGTCCCTCCCTGGCGGGCGGGAGTGGACGCGACGTTTCCGTGTTTGGCCGCGAGCAGCACGCTGAAGAATGAGGGCACAGGCCGTGGGCCATGGGGGCGGCATGCAGAAGACACCCCTGGCAAATGACTGCCTGGCAGCGCACAAAGACATGGGCAGAACTGAGCAGGTATCTCACCCCAGGGGAAATACAGCTGGCGAAGGCGCACAGATGGCGCGCCAGGACCCTGGCAGCGGGCAGCGCCGCAGAATGGCATGAGGCTTCTGAGCAAACTGAAAGGGCCCTGACTGAGGCCGGAAGCCAGCCCAGGAGTGCTCGCAGCAGCCGAGCCGTGCAGTGACCCAGGGAGCCGCAGCGGGCGAATGGGCGAGAAGCCGCGAACAGCACACTGGTGCCGGCTGGGGAAGAGAAGCTGCGAGGGGCCGTGGCGCTGTCGGGGAGAAGCTGATCCCCACAGGCTCCCAAGCAGAGGGCTGCACTTTCACGACATCCCAGAAAAAGCCAAGCAGAGGAGACCGTGACCTGATCGGTGCCAGAGCAGTGGTGTTTGGTGGGGGGAGCCTGGGGGCCTGAACCTGCCGTGTGGCACCGTCTTGGTGGATGTGACTCAAACCCAGAGAGCTGCGTGCAACAAGGACAAGAGAGGCCGGCGGAGGGCGCCTGGCGGTGGGAGCCAGGCCTCGTGTCGAGGGAGGTAGAGCTCAGAGGGGAGGGGTGCGGTCCACGCGCAGCGGCGGGCCTCCTGAGCACACGCGTGTGGGCCCCTGCACCCCCACTGCTTCTTCGGGCACCTGGGCACGCGGCCGCGACAGCTGCCAGCCTGGCGCGCTCCGCCTTCCAGCACCCCACTTACCCAAGGACGGTGCTAGATAGACGGGGCCTTGGAGAAAGGGCTGGCTCCACGCCTGTGACCGGGACCACGTGCCGGAGCGCACTGCACACTGGCGGGGGTGACAGGAGGCACAGAGGGAGACTCCCCGTGGTCAAAGATGGGATGATTGGAGCAACAAAATCAATACAGTAGTATTGGATCATTACCAAAATTATGAATAGCCACTGTGATAAGTAAGTGATTCAATAAATCAATAAATGAATGGGAAGGGGACGGACGAGCCGTGCAGACCACTCCAAGCATGTGGAGACGGGGTGGTGGGGGAGACTCCTCCAGGTGGGACCCGAAGAGCAAGCACAGCCTCTGCCAGGTGATGAGTCAGGTGGATGAGTCAGGTGGAGCGAGCTGGGACGTGCAGGGAGGGCGGGCGCTTCGCCCAGGGCTTCAGGCGCGCTCCCGCGGCAGCTCCCGAGCCAGCTCCGCGACGCGGCCGCCAAGCGGAGCAGAAGGGCACGTGACGGCCACTGGCACTGCGGAGTCGTGGGCAGAGACACTGAGACACCAGGGAAGAGCCGAGGGGTCTCGGTCGAACACACGTGGACTTGACGGCCAAGAACCCCGCGCCGCTGTTCTCCACCCGCGTGCTCTGCGGATGGGGGCGCGGGGCTGCGTGGGAAGTCTCCTTCCTCGCCCTGCCGGCGTCTGCGTCTAACCATTCTCATGAAAGAGTTCCGAGCAAACAGAAGTGAGGAGAGCACAGGATTAGATGGGCCGCTGGCGGCGTGAGGGCCCTTAGGGATCTTCGATGGCAGGTTTGAGAAGTCTTTAAGGACTTCCGAGTACACTGTGGTCCTGAATCACCCCAGCTACAAAAGAACTCATGCATGCGGGGGGCTGCGGACCCCAGGTCACAGCCCCAGGACCATACACAAGTTCTGCGACCCCGAAGTTCTAAAAAACCCACCGGGAGGGTCTGTGCGGTGCTGGCCAGCTGCGCAGCCTTGCGCCCCTCGGCCCCGGCCCCTCCCCGGCTTCACGCCTTCCCTTTGTCCCGGCCCTTCTAGCTCCAAAGCTGCTGTGCCGGAGGCCCCAGAGGTGGCCCCCACCCAGCTCTGGTGGCTGCAGGCCCTGGGTAGCCCAGCATCCCGCCAGCAACCTCCCGCCCACCCCACTGCCACCTCAGACCCACCCTGGTGCCCTGCTCAGGTGCCGGGGTCCAGCTTCCCTGGGCAAAAGGAGTCTGGATCATGCTCCCTCGGGGCACCCCAGTGCTAACTGGGTCTTGAAGGGTTGTCCTGCCTGGGGCTCGAAGGGCCCCATGGGACACACCCCCAGGAGCCAAAGGAGGTGCTGGGAATGATCCACAGCCCCCCACCCTCCTGTCAGTGAGGAAAGCCCGCCTGGTGGGGCTCAAGGTGCTGGCGTGTGTGCACCCACTCCTCCCAAGCGCTGCCGGGGAGAGGGGTCCGTGCGCCCTCCAGGACCACTAGCCTGCCCTGTTGGCTCTGTCCCCCACCCACCCCTGCCCCTGCAGCTCCTCAAGCCAGCGAAATGTGCTCTGGCCTGCTGCTCCCAGCCCAGGAAGCCCAGCCTCAAGTGAGGCTGGCCTCACTTGAGGCACTTGGGGTGCCACAGAAGCCTGGACAGGATTGGCTACTGGGGGGGGGAGGGGGAGAGGGTGACCCTCAAGGGAAGGTGCCTAGGCAGCTGAGCTGGGTCCAGCGGGATGCCGGGTCGGGTGGGGGTAGAAGTCTCAGCAAGAGACAGAGCTGGCCCTGAGGGGAGGGGGCGGGCCTGTGGGGGGCAGGGGAGGGGAGGGAGGGAGGGGAAGGGAGCTCTGGAGGCTGCTCCCTTAGTGTGGCGCCTGAGGGCCAGGTCGTGCCTGATCTTGCAGGTCTCAGAGAAGAATTTCATTTTCTCCCAGGCTGTGGAAAAGCCTGGAGAAGAGAAACTGGGGGCTGGGTGGGGCTGCTGCGCACACCAGGGGCAGGATGGGGGGCCAGGAGAGCCAGAAGGTGGTGTTTGGGCGTCTGTGCTCCCCCAGAGGTGGAGCTCCATAGAAGCAGACACCCCACAAGGGCAGCATTGTGCCCGGGGGTAGGTGTGTCCCCCAGAGGCCCCAAGTGAGCACACTCAGGCCATCTGCAGCAGCGACCTCGGCCTTCAGCTCCATGTCTCTTGGCCACCTCCCTCTCATTGGCCCTGAACCTACAGAGGCGACAGCGGGCCCCAGATGGCAGCTCCCCCTCCCCGCACCCCTCCACTCCCACGCCCCATTGTTCTTGCCCCTGGCCTTGGAACCCGCCTCCTCAGGCAGCCAGGCTGGCTGTGCAGGGCGGAGGAGGCCCCC